CGGGTTTATTTTAATTTCCTTTTATAAAAATCATGAAAGAATATTAAACAAAATTTGATCACTTTTAAAAATAAGTAAAATAATATTAAAAACCCGATAATAAATCTCTAAATAAACTAAGATATGTAATATTTTTACATTTTAATTTTGAATTCATGATATGAAATAGAAAAGCTTACATGTGTCTAAATCTAATGGACTCGTTAATTTATGAAACTTTGATTATTCCATTGCTGAAACCTTTATTCTAAATATTGATGATTTTTTTTAATATTGTTTTATCTAACAAAAAAATGGAAAATTTAACTATTTAATATTAGAAGATTGGTCCATTATAAAACTTTCTTTTTAATATTATTTATTCCTTGATAATTATTTTATTAGTTTTCTATTTATATTGTTTCTTTTTCAATTTTGTGTTTGCCTCTTACCATTATAAATTTTCATTTTCATTATTAATTAGTTGTTTTAAATTATTTTGTTAGTTTATTTATTTATGTTACTACATTTTTCCAATTTTATTGTGTTGACATATGTAATCACCAGATCAAATATTAGACACATGTAGCGATCTAAAGTTAATTATTCTTCATTGATATCTTGAACTTTTAAAACATGATTTTTTATTTCTTAATGAGAAAGAAACTTAAAAAAATATAGCTTGTTATATTTTCCTTTTCGTATTTGGAATATGTTTTTTTATTCCTTATCTTATTGGATGTAACAATTTTTTAATTATTTCTTCATAATTTTCTGATTTTTCGTTTTTTTTTCCTTTTCGTAATAGGATTATGTTTCTTCTTTACTTTTCCTAATGGATGTAATAATTTTTTCTTTTTAATTGTTTATTTCTTTTTTTTCTTCTGATTTTTCCTAATGTACAAATAGGATTTTATTTATTACATTATTTTGAATTTTAATATGTGTTTGGACAATATAAATTTGATGAATGAGAAAACTTTTTCTATTATGATATGAAAAATATGATTTTTCTTCTTTTTACTCAAATAGATTTTTTTTTAATTTTCCTTTTTCTAACATTTTTTAATTATTTGTTTTTTTTTCCCAAGACACGTGTCATGATCTTAACAGACGTAACATTAAAAAGTGACATATGTCGCGATCCTATAAATTATAAAAATCCTACATGTCGCAACCATCTAGCTTTATATAATAAGATATGTGTTTGGATAATATAAATTTGATAAATGGGAAAACCTTTTTCTGTTAGGATATGACAAATATTAATTTTACTTTTTTTAATATAATAGATTAAATTTCGTTTTTTTAATTATCTTTTTCTAGTATTTTTAAAAATATTTTTTCCCCTAATACATGTGTCACGATCTTAACGGACATAATCTTAAAAGTGACACATGTCACGATCCTATATTTTATAAAAATCCTACGTGTTGCAACCACGTCGCGCGCATCCAACTTTATTATATAATAAGATAATAATCTCATAGCAATTTTTAATCACATAATTAGTCAACGATATTACATGTTTTTATTACATATATGAGTTAAACGTGCAATATTAGTAGGAATCTTATGTCATAGCCAATAGTTTGTTAACAAACAAAAAAAAGACATTGTCTTACATTGTCATTTTGTTGCGAATTCCCAAAAAAGAGGATAAATGAATGGGAGGGAAAAGAAAAGAGAAAGAAAACGTTGAAAGTGAGAAGGACAATATGGAACCCACTGGAGCAATAAGAGAGAATGGTTATTGGCAGATAGACTTTTCATGTGTGTCTACCATACTTTGGATACGTGTCGTCCAGATGATATAAAGATGATGATGATACTGGTGATGATGGGCATGACCATGGGAAGCAAATCTTTGGCAGAGAATCAAGTGAACATTGCCATGTCTTTGCCACTACCACACAACCCAACTGCTACTTATTTCCTAATCTTTTGCCAACGAATCCGACTGCTAAGTATACATAACTCATATATTAGGCACAGTTACTTCTTCTATGAAATAATACTTATAATATACAAATTCATTTTTACTATTCAATATAGCTAGACATATACGGTAAGATGTAGTTTGTGTTTTACAGAATACTTAAATTATGGATGGTTGGCTAAATTTTAAGGAGATTGCTTATAAAAAAAAATTCTTATCAAACAAATTTACTGATCAAACATTATAACCATATTTTACTGTGTAAAACCATAAATACCGAAACCAAAAAAAAGTCGAATTACAAACTGAAATAAAAAAAAGTGTAAGTGGTGAACTAGGTGACTTGTCAAACTAAAGAAAGTTATGAGGTCGAGGTTGGAATACTTCGTATTAGAGGTAGGAAAAAGAGTCGAACTACAGCTTTACAAGAGAAGAAGGTCAGGAAGGTTGCTTATCCAACCTCCGAACTGAGTATCGAACTACAAACTGGATTATCGAACTAGAGAGTACAATAAACTAGTATTTAGCTCTCTAATCCAAGGGTTTCATGTGCCATCAACTAATATTACATGCTCTATTTATAGTCTAAACTTTAGGGCATCTCCAATAATCTGATGGTGATGTGGCTCAATCTCCTCCCTTCATCTTTAGTCTTCTTCCTTTGGCCTTTTGGAGTAGAGTTGGGCCTAGGTGTTGTTTGTGTTGGGCCCTTAATGAGGGTTTGGCACAAACCCACCATTAACAGTTGCCCCCCCGTAGTCCGTCGAGTCGAACTGAGCGTTGATCGGCATCGGCGGATTGCATTCGGAGTTTGGGCTCGGCACAAATAATACCTTAGGCCAGCATGTGAAAACGCTTTGTCTGCAGCGATTGGGAGAACTAAGAGGTCATCTGAAGGAGTTCGTCCAGGAGAACTAAGAGGTCATCCCGAGGAGTTCGTCTGGGAGAACTAAGAGGTCGTCTGGAAGAGTTCGACTGGAAGAACTAAGGGATTTGTCTGGAGGAATTCTTCTGGGAGAGCTAAGAGGTTGTCGAGAGACATAGTCAATATAAGATGTTGAACTCGGAGGATCTTGTTTTGGATGAAGTTGTAGTTGGGCGATGGTAGTTAGGCAATGATATAAACGCTTTAAGTTGAGCAGAGGAGAGCTGGTCGGCATGGAGATGGGAGATAGGAGATAGGAGATATGTATGTTTTGTATGTATAGTTGTACCTCGTGAGAGGTTGTCTACATACCCTCCGAAGAAGGATAAAGCCATTCGTAGTTCGTTGTTGGGGAACTCAACGCTGAGGTCGTCGCTGGGGAGTTTGATGTTGGGGTCGTTGCTTGGGAAGCTCGACGTTAAGGTCGTCGCTTGGGAGCTCGACGTTGAGACCGTCGCTGGGGATCTCGATGTTGAGGCTGTCATGGGATAGCTCGACATGCTGGTTGTCGCGGAAAATCACAGTTGAAAGGTCGCCACTGGATGGTTGTCGATGGGAGATCGTCGTTGAAAGGTCATCGTCAGATGGTCGTCAGTGGGAGATCGTTCTCGAGAGATCGTTGTCGAGTTTTCTGAGGTCGGACCTTCGGACTTCGTTTTGCTTTCCTCCGAGGTGGATGGTGTCAGACCTAGTAGTGTTCCCGAGTAGGCGGTGCTCGGATGTTTTTATTTTTGATTGTGTTAACTTTATATGTTTCTTTTGAATTGCTCCGGACTGTGGAGTTCGTTGGTGTTTATGTTTGAACCTTGCTTATTTCAATCGATGGTGTTTTTGCGATTTTTGTTCTAAGTCTGTTTTTAGACCTTACGAGATGCGCTCGATTTACCTAGTCGTTTTTAGACTTAGATTTTGCGAGACTGGGCTTGGCTTAATTGACACACGGGCAGGCTTGGTCGGCCCTGATTCCGAAGTCGTGGATTATTTCACCATTGCATTCGTGGAACGCGTTTTGATCGAATGTTTGGCCAGAACACCGATGTAAGTTTAGGGTTGCGCGACGTGCGAACACCGTTTATGATTTTTTTTTTATTGAAGTAGCTGGACCTTTTGCAAGGCTGCCTACGTACCTCGAGATGAGGATCAAACCGATCGTAGTTCACATTTGCAAGTATGTATACTTTTTTTTTTTTTTTTTTTTTTTTAAACGAACGAGGAGCTCGGTGGGACTCGTAACTCGGTGGAGTGGGTAGTTTGGTGGATGAGGACTCAGTAGTAGTATCGTTTGAGGTTGGCGCTTCAGAGAGGCGATGTAAAGGTGTTCTACATCAAACCGGATGGTACTCGTTGTAGAGGTGCTCCTGCAGTTGCCTGCACTGTTCGGTTGAGTGCCCGTAGAATTTGTGATGGTCGCAGTATGGTCTTTCCTCGCCACTCGGGGTATCTTCGGACGGCCTGATGTATTTGTTCCTCTTTGGTTTTGGTGGGTCGATCTGGAAGTTCGACGCTTGCTTGCCCTTGTAGTTCGGACTGAGGTTGCTATCGTAGTGTTGACGGGGTTCGCGATCTTTTTCTTGAGACTTTTCTTTTGCGGGAGTCGCCTTTGCTTGGGGTTGGGAAGCGTACTTCTTCGCCCCGATCGCCTTTGTTTCTTCCAGTTCGATGTAGCCTACAGCTCGGTGCAGTGCGTCCTCGAGAGTGTTCGGCCGGTTGAGATGATACTGTCCTTGAGTGGCGACTCGTGCCATAAGGAATTTTTTAACGCCGAGACAGCAGCGTTGTCTCCGACTGCGATCTGAGAAGCGACGGACTTGAACCTATCGATGAAGAATCGGAGGGACTCCTTCGGCTCTTGTTGTAAGGTGTATAGGTCGGCGTCGGAGACGCCGTCTTGGATATGGATCGAGTAATGCTTGAGAAAAGCGGTGGTGAGTACGTCGTAACTATCGACCGAGTTCGCTTCGAGCCGGGAGAACCACTGCAGCGCTGCATCGGTTAGTCGTCCTACGAAGAGTTTGCAGTAGGCCGCGTCTAAATCTTCGGCGGGAAAATGGAACATCTGCATGCCTATGTGGAATGCTGATAGAAAACGGGCTGGATCACTCTGACCGTCGTAGGTCGGCACATTCATCTTTCCTTGCGGTTTGACGGACGTATTGATTATGCGGGTGTGAAAGGTGTGTTCTTCGATGCCTTCAGAACTTTGGTGATCTCCGGAGCGGAACTAGTTGCTTGATGGATCTTCGATGTCATTTCTTTTAATTGTTTCGCGCAGCGATTCGAGCTCCATGTCGCATGCTTCGTTGCGTTGTTCCTGCGGAGTTGAAGTAGGCGGAAGTTCGGCGTGACGGCTGTGTTCGTGCTCGGCGTTGCCTGGGCCGGGGGTGTGGTTGCTTGAGGTGTGAACTCGGTTTCGCGAACAGATTTCTCATTAGTCCGGGCGAGAGTTGAGTTGGCTGTCGTGTTCCGGGTCCGTGCGATGCTTGGCTCCGAGACGCTCGCAGGTCGGCTACTTGAGTCTGGGTGAGGTTCTGAGCGGCTGTGAGTTCGTCGAAGCACGCGGCTGTCCCTTGGGCGAGGTGGTTGATCTGATTCAACATTGTTTGAAGTATTGCCGAGACTTTGGAGGTCGCCCAAGAGTTTGGCGTGCTTCTTTCTCCATTGCCTGTCGAAGGCGGTTCGGCTGCGGGGGTGCTGATCGTTCGGGGGAGTTCGACGGACGAGTCGACTGCCCTTCCCTCTCCTGTGGTTGGCCTGACATTCTCTCTTACTTCCTGAGTTGTAGAAAGAAATTCCTAGTCCCCTCAGACGGCGCCAAATGTAAGTGGTGAACTAGGTGACTTGTCAAACTAAAGAAAGTTATGAGGTCGAGGTCGGAATACTTCGTATTAGAGGTAGAAAAAAAGTCGAACTACAGCTTTACAAGAGAAGGAGGTCAGGAAGGTTGCTTATCCCAACTCCGAACTGAGTATCGAACTACAAACTGGATTGTCGAACTAGAGAGTACAATAAACTAGTGTTTAGCTCTCTAATCCAAGGGTTTCATGTCCCATCAACTAATATTACATGCTCTATTTATAGTCTAAACTTTAGGGCATCTCCAATAATCTGATGGTGATGTGGCTCAATCTCCTCCCTTCATCTTTAGTCTTCTTCCTTTGGCCTTTTGGAGTAGAGTTGGGCCTAGGTGTTGTTTGTGTTGGGCCCTTAATGAGGGTTTGGCACAAACCCACCATTAACAAAAAGGACGTAAAAATCACATCTAATAAGTAAATGATACGTAACATAACACGTCACATCGAGTAACATGAATCCACAAAGCATGTACACAACAGAAAATGCAAAATACAAATAGGGATGATAGATTTTCTAATCTTTGTGGTCCGATGAAAACCTTTTTACACATCACTCTTTCAATCAGGACCATCTATATTTATTTCATTTTTTTTAGAGCTAAATAAAAAAATTTATTGTTTAATAAATACATTAATAAATCAAACTTGACGTAAACAAAAACAATCAAAAACTTCCTTGAAATAGTAAAAACTTCTTTGCACATATTCTCTTTTAATTTTGAATAATGTGATTGTTATACTACCATTGAATGTATATTTTGTAGACAATAAAAAAACCTCCAAAACACATATCTGGTTTTTTTTGTGCCAGCCCTCCAAAACAACTATCTATGGGCGTTAAACTAGCAAAGCATGTGGTTGTGGTACTATATATATATTAATCAAATCCCTCATCTTCTTATCTTAATCTTAGAAAGTCTTTGGTTGATAAAACAAATCCTTTAAAATCTTCATATAGATTTGTTTCATTATTTATCCATTATCAAAGTTTCTTTATTTTCTTAGAACGTAGTTACATTACATACCTCAAACCTTGCTTAGTCCGTAACTCAAAGCTAGATCCAGTTTTAGTTTTATTTTCCTCTCTCTGTCTCTCTCTCTATCTATCTCTCTCTCACCCAACTCCTTTTATTCTCCTCCTCCTCTCTCTCTTTAGCTCCTTGAGAGAACTCTCAACATTTCCAGGAAAAAGGAAAAAACAGGCAAAGAGAATCTTTAAAGAGAAGTAAAAAAAAAAAAAAATAGAACAAAAGGTTGGAAACTTTGCGTCTGGGTTTGTGGATTTATATTCAGATCTCTGAATTTTTTCTGCAATGGGTATAGTAACAGAGTCATCACAGTTCCATGTTTTGGCTGTTGATGATAGTCTCTTTGATCGGAAAATGATAGAGAGATTGCTCCAAAAGTCTTCGTGTCAAGGTAAAACAGAAAGAAAAAAACAGTCAAAATCTTTAAGCAGAGGAAAAACATTTTTTTTTTAAAAAAGCTTTCTTTTGTTCTTATGTTTGCAGTAACTACAGTTGACTCAGGCTCTAAAGCTCTCGAATTTCTTGGTTTGAGAGAAAGTGACGATATCAACGACCCAAATGCGCCCTCTACATCACCCCAAACTCATCAGGTTCAGTTTTTGTTTTCTTTTTCTTTTCATGATTCAACTGGTTTCATTTGAATTCACAAATTCATTTTTTTTTCTTTATTTGTGCAGGAAGTTGAAATAAATCTCATAATTACAGATTACTGTATGCCTGGCATGACTGGTTATGATTTGCTCAAGAAAGTTAAGGTATTTCTTCTTCTTGTTTTTTTTTTTCCTTTGATTTTTTGGCCAATTTTTTCTATTAGGTTGCTGTCTTTTCCAGCTCTGGGAAATTCGTTTTCCAGAAAAAGAAATAAAGTTTTTCTCTTTAGTTTTAGTTGAGAATGTCAATGAGGAAAATCTCTTTGGAATATTTTTCCCACTCGCTTAAAAACTTTTCTTTATGACATTGTGTATCATGAGAACAATTTGCTTTCCTGAGAAATTTACAGAAACTTATATGATTGTGTAGGAATCAGCAGCGTTTAAAAGCATTCCCGTTGTAATAATGTCATCTGAGAACGTTCCTGCTAGAATCTCCAGGTAAGCCTCTGTTTCTTTATCACTAAATTGACTTTTATTGTCATTAATAAAAAACATGAGCTATGTATGTAGATTTCTTGCAATGGATTTGGAATTTTAGTACTCATATAATGTGTCCTGAAAATTTTGAACAACAGATGTTTGGAAGAAGGAGCTGAAGAGTTTTTCTTGAAACCAGTAAAGTTGGCTGATCTTACAAAGTTGAAACCTCATATGATGAAAACCAAACTGAAGAAAGAAAGTGAGAAACTAGCCAAAGAAGAGAACGCACTTTTGATACCGGTTATAGAAGAAGATTCATCAGTAATTGAAATCTTGCCTCTCAGTCAAGAACTTGAATCCGAACAACATGAACCAATGTTGAGTAGTAACAAGAGGAAAGCTATGGAAGAAGTGATATCTACAGATCGATCACGTCCTAAATACAATGATATCACGACATCGGTCTAACCCGTTCTTTCTTTCGGTTTTCGCGCATAAGTATTTTTCTCAAAACTTTGTTAGTCTTTGTAGGAATGCTTCTTCTGGTAAATACAGAATTGGTAATAGAGAATGAAGAGGGGATATATATGTAGATGATCATGATGGTGGTGGTAATGGTTGTTACTTGTTGTTGTTGTTCATTATGTGAAAAATCACTAAATTCCCAAATTTTGTTTATGTTTCTTCTTTTTTCTGATAATCAAGACGATCTCAAGAGTAAATAAAATCTACCGAGTTTTCTTTACTTATGCTTAGAGTTCTTGGTTTGTTCATGTGATGTTGTTATTGTTCCACTTAACTATGTTCAAGTCAGTAAATTCAAAACAATCTCGAGACTCAAGAGTGTGAATCAAAAGCTACTAAGTTTACATACGTTTCCTTATATTTTTTGTTGAAGTAATAAAATCAACCATTTAATATTTTCTGAAAGTTAATGTAATTACCGTTATATCCGGTTTATCTAGATACTCTGGAGGCCGTACGAGATAAAAGAGTACGGAAGAATATTCTGTACGGGTTTCTTAATATTCTGTACGGTTTACATTAGAAGCAAATTTGGGCTTTAGAAATTTGTGTTACTCTATCAGACTTACGTCTTTCTTCAGATAGGGTTTTATAAATTTGTGTTATCCTATCAGAAACAGACTTTCGTTTTCTTCAGGTACTTTCGATTCAAACCCAAATTTGTTTCAGGTCTTCTTCTAGCTTCACGAGTCTTCACCTTCACCAGCTCGACTCCGTAGTTTATTCACTTGAGAAAAAAAAACAGAGGATAATGAAAGTTACATGAAGATGACGATACTCGAAGCGACATAGAGCGAAGAAACGAAGACTACTGAGAAATTAGTTACGTATCGATGACAACAACGAAAGACGAACAAGAATTTCTGAATATTAACCAGGTTTTTTATTTTCCCGATATTTTCGCTATTTATCATATATTCATGACAGAATTTTAATATTTCTTCTTGAAAAAAGAGATCCATCTTTAATCAGTTTTCCTCCAAAAAAGTTATGGGAGGTTCATGCAATCTTATACTCTGCAACTGCCGTAGTGCTTCAGAGATCACAGACGACTATGTAACTATTTCTTTCTACTGATTCTCTCAAAAGCTTGTTATTATCAATTGCTCTGTTTCATCTTTTGCTTATTGTTTGTTGCTCTGTTTTAGGTGAAGAACAAAATCGAAATCTGTATTCAAAAGTACATGACTTTGGAAGAAACCATGAAGTATCTGCAGGATAATCACCAGATTTGTCACAAGCTCACCCAAACAAGTAAGTCTACAATCTACAATATCGTCAGTCAAAGACTTTATATTGATTCTATCCATATGGTTCTCTTGTAAACTCTTGAATTTTGTTTGAATCTTGTTAGTTTGGGAGAAGCTTCAAGAAGAGAGCCCAGAGTTCTTCAAGATCTACTACTTAAGATGCAAAGTGGCTCGTCAGACAAAGCAGTTCAACGAGTTGCTTGCCAAGCAAGTAGCTCTGATGCTTAAAGCGGGAAATCTTGATATTAATTCACGTATGTATAAACACAGAGAGAGCACATTCGTCTTATCTGGATGATCGACCTTATGCTAAAGATTTGCTTATGTTTGTCTCTTCTTGCAGCTGAAATCGTGAATCTTCTTTGTCAGTACCCTGAAGTAATTAGTCTTATGAATGATCAAGCTAGCACATCTGGTACTCTCTAATGCTACCTTTAAACTCTAAAAGTAGACCACTTTTTGAAAAATTGGGGTTAGGGTTTGTTTAAGTTTGAATTCTCTTTGGATTACGTAGCTTCCAAGACAGAGACGGTTTCTTCAAGCTTAGCATTGCCTTATACAAACGGTCCATCAGGTAAAGCACAGACACAAATTTGGTACTATACTCAGTGCCAATAACTCGTTTTTTTTTTTTCATTTTTGACTCCTAAGGAACTCCTTCTGTCTCTCTGTTTTTGTAGTAACGCAGCTGCAGGTTCAAAGCTTAGCACTGCCTTATACAAATGGTCCAACAGGTAACACACACAGTTTTGGTACTGTACTCACTGCTCGATAACTCGATTTCTTGCTCTTTGCCTTCTAAGAAACTCCTCTGTCTCTCTGTTTTGTAGACCCGCAGATGCAGATTCCAAGCTCAGCATTGCCTTACACAAATGGTCCATCAGGTACACATAATTTTTGATACTGTACTCACTGCTCGATAACTCGATTTCTTGCTCTTTGCCTTCTAAGAAACTCCTCTGTCTCTCTGTTTTGTAGACCCGCAGATGCAGATTCCAAGCTCAGCATTGCCTTACACAAATGGTCCATCAGGTACACATAATTTTTGATACTGTACTCAGTGCTCCATAACTCGATTTCTTGCTCTTTGCCTTCTAAGGAATTCCTCTGTCTCTCTGTTTTGTAGTGCCGCAGATGCAGATTCCAAGCTTAGCACAGCATTATACAAATGGTCCATCAGGTAGAAACACACAATTCTGGTACTGTACCTCACTGCTTGATACATCTTTTTTGCTCATTGCCTTATAAGAACTTCTTCCGTCTCTCTGTTTTGTAGTAACGCAGCTGCAGATTCCTAATGATCAGCAAAACCAACTCCATCCTAATCAACAGACTACATCTAATGATCTTCCTTGTAAAGAAAATACTCAATCTTTCTCTCTCTCATTGCTTTAACACCCTTTAAATTAAGCACTTGTATGAATCATTCTCCTTTTCTTTGTCTACAGATGGCTATGCAGCAACATATGCACCAGCAGTTCTTGGCCAATGGCCTTCCTCAGACGATACTGCCTGTAATATAAAAGACTGAATCTTTCTCTGTTTCACTCTTCTACTTAAGCATGTGTATAAATCATTCGCCTTTTCTTTTCCCCATAGATGATCTTGGAGCTTCAAACTATGCACCAGCAGCTGTTGATCGATGGCCTTCATCTAATGATCAAACCTGTAAGATAAAAGACGAATCTTTTCTCTTTTTGTCCACTCTTCTACTTTAGTATTTGCATGAACCATTCTCCTTTTCTTTCCCTACAGATGGCTATGGAGCTCAACCCTACACACCAGCAGCTGTAGTAGATCAATGGTCTTCATCTACTGGTATTCCCTGTAAAAAAAAGACTGAATCTTTCTCTTTGTTTCACTCTTATACTTAAGCATTTGCATGAACCATTCTCCTTTTCTTTCCCCACAGATGGCTATGGAGCTCCAACCTTTGCACCAGCAGCTAATACGCCACAATACCCCTTGGCTTCTATACTCGACGGTCTAGGCGATGTTGGTCAACATGACCCAATTATCCAGGCGGCCATGGAAAGAGATTCATTGTTGCAACTACAGGACCTGTATGAACAATACCAACCGCAAATGCCGCTGCAACAGAACTTCCCAATAGGAGCACAAGCGCAGCAAATGCTACAACCTGGAGAAGGAAGCAACGGGCTGCAAAATGGAGAAAGCTTTGACCAACGGATGTGTCATAACTTTGACACAACTCAACCAATGCGAATGTGTACAAGCGTTGACCAACGGGCTGATCAACCTGGAGGAGGAAGCAACGGGCTGCAAAATGGAGAAAGCTTTGACCAACGGATGTGTCATCATAACTTTGACACAACTCAACCAATGCGAATGTGTACAAGCGTTGACCAGCAGCAAGCACGAGGAGTAACAATGCATCCTCGTCCTGATTCTAAAGCTTTGGACACTCCACACAGTGGTAAGTAGCAAAAACCTTTTTCCCACAATACATATCTGGTTACTATTATAGCTTATGCTTTTATCTCTTTTCATCAAGATGAGTGGGCATTACCAAGGGCTCAAAACCAGCATCGTTTCAAAAGGCAAAAGCAACTAAAAGACCCCTGAAACGAGAGGAGCAATGTCAGAGCGAAGCAACAAAAGACATTTACAAACAGTAGTGGATTTCTTGTTTTTGTCAATTCACTACTCTTCACCCTAGTCCAGTAGTCCCTAGATGAGCTTTCTCGTTTTTTTTTTTTACTTTCTGTTTTGGCTTTAGTGAGCACAGATATTGAAACCCACAAGCTTTTAGGGAAATTTATTCATAAATAGCTCCAATTTGGAGACCTAAATGGCTCTGAATCCAAAACTATTGCAAAGATTGGAGCTTTCATGAATCAGAGCTTAAGAAACCATTGTTGAAAGCCAAAAGTGAGTTACTTTAGCTGAGAAAGCAAACACCACAAATTGTAATTGCCAAAACGTAGTAAATGTGAAGTACTATTATCGAACACAAGATCTCATATTTCTAGCAAATCTGACTTCGGGTTAGCTCCAATTACACAGCAGAATCTCAAATTTCTTCCTAAAAACTATTTCATTCTCTACGAAAATCGTATACAGCGTGAACGTACACAGATGAGAACCCAAAATCTGAGAAGCAAAGCACGAGATTCACGAACCTGAACGGAGATGAGATCACATTTCCGATTATCCCTCTTTGGAAAACGAACTCCATTTCCATTTGAGAGTTCTTTAGAATAAGTAGTATAACCATTTTGTCCCACATCGGAAGAAGAGAGAGTTTCTTTGTTGTATATAATAGTGAAGTTATAACTTACTGAACGTCGAGCTCAGTAGCGCGGGCTTGTGATCCAAGTGGAGACAATAAGATGATGGAACGTTGGAACGATTTCATTGGGCCGGGTTCGGGTTGGGCTATTATCTGGCCCGCCCATTCCAAGTTGGGAGTTGAGGCATGGGCCTTGAGCGAAGGCTCGGGTTTCATGTCTCCTAGAGTCGGGGGAGACTGCGTGAGGCTGGTTTCACAGAGCAGCGTCCACCTCCCGCTCTTGACGGTGGAAGGATCACGGGCCGTCGCCTTCCGAGCCCACTATGACCCTTTAAGCCGATTCCGATTGGACCATCACCTTTTTGCATTTTTTTTAATAATTGCAAAGAAAAAACCATAAATGCATTGTGCTTCTTTTGCTTTATATTTTAATGCTTCTTTTGTTGTTTTGTGAACTAGTCCAACTGGAATTGGTTGATCAAAGTAGGGGAAAAATACAAAAGTTTCATTATAAATAATTTTGTTTCACTATGACCCTTTAAGCCGATTCCGATTGGACCATCACCTTTTTGCATTTTTTTTAATAATTGCAAAGAAAAAACCATAAATGCATTGTGCTTCTTTTGCTTTATATTTTAATGCTTCTTTTGTTGTTTTGTGAACTAGTCCAACTGGAATTGGTTGATCAAAGTAGGGGAAAAATACAAAAGTTTCATTATAAATAATTTTGTTTCATAATGACCAATTATAGAAGGAAGACAATATATGTGGAATTATATGGGAATAGACGAATAGTTGGTTCGTTGGGGAAATGTCAGATGATATTTATTTAGGCTAGAAAAAAAAAACTATCACCTATTTGCAATTTTGCATAAAATACAAGTCTTTTGTGTGGGGTTGATATATTATAAATGTATCTTCTCTTTTAAGCTCGTAATTATTGGGTCGAACAGTGACGTGTCTCCTAACTGGCCAGAAAGAGACGCGGCTGGTGAAGTGTTGGGACACGTGGTGATGTCTTACTGGTTAAAAGATCCCAGCGTGTGGCACGTGTGGGATATTCTTTCCATATTTCTCCTCCTCCTTCACCGTAAGCTTCACCCACTCTGGGATCTTCCACTTCTCTTCAGCCAAATCGATTGAGCTCGCGAACTTAAGAGATAGAGAGACATACAGACAGAACAAACCTTCGGAGAAATGGCGATGCCTTTGGAAATGGCGATGCATCTGACGAAAACGGTGTGGTTAGCTCTGAGCGGCTGGATTTTCACATGTTTAGCCATCGCCGACGAAATCGCCAGTTCTCTCAGAAACCGAGAAATCGGTCCTTTCCATGTCGAATGATCGTTGCTACGATCTTCTCCGTAACTGTAGAGAATTGATTCTTTTCATGTCTTTTTTTTTTCTTGCGATGGGAAATGTTTTGGAATAACTCGATACCCTAAATATTGAGGGGTTTGGGTTTATAGAGGAGATATATAAGGTCATTATTTGCTTTGATATATAATACGTCTCAATTTGTGGGAGTTTATGTTGATTTGAGTGGATATTTAGTCATGGGATTTCTTTACATTTGATTGTTGTTTCTGGTTCTTGTCTCCAGAATTGGAAATTACTTCAAAGTGTGATTATATTAATGATATGCAAATGTCGACTTTGTTCATCCATTTGATGTAGCTTACCAATACCATTCGCTGAGATTAAGCTGGGTTTTGGCAGAGGATCTTCAGATCCACGAAGAGTTGCAAGAGTAAATAATAAGCAACTGTAAATGTAGGAGTACGTCGTAACTTTTAGGTATAAGCGAGAAAATATTCCAAACAAATTTACCGCGTTGGGCATCTTTCTTTACGGGTAAGTTATCAGGATAGGGTCAGTAAATGTATATAAGAAAAGCCCAACATTATTATTCTCTCGGATCAATAGAAACACACACGTATTTGTTATAAATGTAACATGTATATCATCAATTCCACTTTACATCGACCAAACAATGACCTTCTCTTTTCTTGGACAAAGCAAATGACCCTCTTGGTCATAAGTTACACTCGCTAAGATTATGCTGTTTTTGTTAGAGGATCATTCAGATGCTCAAGGATTTACTAGTCTAAAACTACTTGTAATGTGTTGTGTCAGAAATTTAGCATTCAAGATCACATTTTTATTTTGGGTATTATAAACAAATTTAGCGCATAGGGAATCTCTCTTTACGGATATGTTATTGAGTTCTTTCTTATTATAGAAAAAGAGATTGATTTTCTTTCTTTTGCCCATCTTGCTTTGTCTTTAATATATTTTAAATTGAATAATAATTATTTTACGCCTCTTTTTAAAAAGGCAAAGGAATCCTCAATGAGTGTGCCTTGTGCAATGCAGTTTCGTGTTTATTCTCTCGTAAAATATCAGTAATAGACTAATAGTAAACCCAATTCCAAATTTTACGTCCTACGTGCTGGAATTTGAGTCTAACACCAATACTTAGTTGATTATTGACTTTTTTAATGGGATAACCAAGAGAACTCCGTATTTACAGTTCATAATAACTGGTGAGTAAGGAATGTTGTTAAATTATTTTTTCCATAACTGGTGATTTAAGACATTAAGTTTTGAATTTTTAATAACTGCTTCATTTCTGCTAAGATTGATCCTAATCAGAAATAACTAGCAGAGTATGACTCATTGTTGACTTGTTTCCTCCCCAAATACATTTTAGTGCAAGTCTTTGGCTAAATTCAAAGATCTTGACATATTACTTTTTGCCAACACTGTTTTACTTTGTTATGATTTCTGAATTTACGCTCTAATTATTAGGAACAAATATACACTTTCCTTAGTTCTCTAATAAAATCAAATTTAATACCGCAAATACAACATTACCATTATCGTCTTCTTTAGTGTTTCACCATCTTCCACCTCAACTTACCTAGACAGCTCCGTTCCACCTGTTTTCTCTCTTTCTCTCTCACACTCACTTTCTCTTTTATATTCTCCGACAAAAGGAAAAGCACAAGAAACCCAAAAAAAAAGAGAGTTGAGAAACTAAAAAAAACACTGACGCCATTTCTTCTTCTTCTTCTCTCTACTCTGCTTCAAAGTCATGGGTTCCTCTACTTCTAAAACCGCTTCCTCTTCTTCTTCTCCTTGCTCGGCTTCAAGTTCACCTCCAGAGATGAAATTCATCTCCCAATTCCCGTCGTCGTCTTCGTCTAAGACGGTTCCGAGAGCTTTCTCCTTTCCAATGCCGTCGATTCATCATCCACCGTCTAAAAAAGGCGACACGCACCACCTGGTCTCCCTCACTTCCACCACTTACGGCTCTCCTCCACTCCTCGACCTCGACGAAGCCTCTGACAGCAGCCAGCCATTGCCTCATGTCTCCATTTCAGGAAAGAACAATAAGAAAACCCTCGAAACAGAGGACTCGTTGTCTCCTGACTCAGTGATCAACACATGGGAGCTCATGAACGGTCTCGACGACTACGACGAATACGGTTGCGTCAACGGTAAGCGTAACTCCGACGTAAAGTATGAATCTTTCTCTAAACCCATCAATGGGTCTGCGTCGAAACTGGACGACTCTTACGAGATCGTGAGAATCGAAGAAGATGAGGACGATTGGATTCCGTTGCCTTCTAGACCAAAGCAGCCTCTGTGGAAGCTTTTGTCTGAAGAATCGTTTCTCTCTGATTTGGATCCTAACATCATCTCATCTTACAAGAAAGCATTGTCTTCCAAACGAAACACGAAACCAGTCTCAAACCAATCTGTTGTAATCAGTTTGCCAGAATATGTATCTTTGGAAGAGCAAGAGAAACCAAGAACGCCAGAGACAGAGGACAACAAGAAGGAGATAGTACTACTCTACTTCACTAGCCTCAGAGGAATTAGAAAGACTTACGAGGACTGCTGTTGCGTGAGAGCGATCTTGAGAGGGTTTCATGTTGCGTTAGAGGAGCGTGACATCTCCATGGACTCCAGTTACAGAAAAGAGCTCCAGATCGCTCTAGGGGGAGAGAAACCGGTTTGTTTGCCTCAGGTGTTTATAAGAGGCGTCCACGTCGGTGGGATTGAGGAGATCAAGATGCTCAACGATGGAGGTGAACTGGGAGAGATGTTGAAAGAGTTTCCTGTTTGTGAATCGGTGGGAGCTTGCGAAAGCTGTGGGGATGCAAGGTTTGTGCCGTGTACTGATTGTGGCGGTAGTACTAAAGTGTTTGAGGAGCGAGAAGATGTGTTTAAGAGATGCGATGGATGCAATGAGAATGGATTGGTACGTTGTAACAAGTGTTCTTGTCTTTAGTGATTGATTGGACTCGTTTGATCAATGTTGTTGTGAAGTGAGGAAGAAAATGTAGAGCTATACTATTTACTTTGATTGGTTTGTGTTCTTTGCATGAAATGGTTGTGTAATTTTGTGTTTTTGTATATTGAAGATAACAAGTGGCTTTATGGTTAAGGCTCAAAACTATTTTGTCCTATTAAGCCTTGATTTTTATTATTTTTTGGTTATAATGCGTTAGGTTATGGATGTTACATTGTTCCAAACAGAGTATAAGTGTATATCATTTGATGTAAATTACCTTATTAGATTATGATCAGTTGCTTCTTCTTAATCCTCCGTATGTCCATAACATTTTGGTTGCTGCCTTGTTGTATTGTTAGATAACCGATTTGCTGGTTAGCATAACCAATCATGTCTTGAGGCCAAAACATCAGATTCTGAATGATAAATTCAATGAAATGATACACTTATTGTATGTTGCTAGCAAAATATCTGTTAGAAAGAGAAAATATGTTTTTTTTTGGCGTTCAGTTTATTGTAGCACGTAATTATTGTTGCTTTGCATATCAAATTGGATAAATGTCAATAAAAAACTGTTAAGATTTATTTTATTTCTCCAACTACAATTATGATTTTTTGAAAGAATAATAAAACTAAATTTTTTCTTAAAATCACAAAAATATCCCAACCCTAAAAATCAACAAACTCTTCTCTCGGCATCAGCATCCATCGACACAAAAACTCACCATCTCTGCATCTTATTAGGCTATTTAGTTCCATGTGGTTCGAACTGATTTTATTCACCAACCCTAATATTTACTCCCAAACTTGAAGGTTAAGATACCGCCAGATGGCCTCCTCACCGTTAGCTTTGGCCCAATCTCATTGTTGGTCCGAGCTTCCTCTAGACCTCAAGCAAACGGTTTTCGAACGCCTTGGCTTTACCGATTTCGAACGAGCTAAATCGGTTTGTTCATCATGGCAATCCGGCTCGAGACAATCTCAGCCAAACAATCAGATCCCTTGGATACTTCTGTTCCCCGTGGACAAGAACCACTGTCTCTTGCTCAATCCTCAAGACAAAGAAAAGGTGTACAAAACTCAACATCTCGGCGACCACTTTGGAAATAGCTTTTGTTGCAAGACTTATAGAAGCTGGCTTTTGATGCAAACTTGTTATAGAGGCTGGGAAAACAACCATACCTATATTTTAAATGTTCTAACGCACGAGAGGATCAATCTACCCACTACCAAAACACTCTTCACTCCTCAGCTGCTATGGATAGACGAGAAAACCAAAGATTATCTTGTTATAGGCAATGTTGACGACGAAAACTTGATTTCTTTCAAGAAAGGAGATAGCTCGTGGAGAGAAATCCTCCTGTTTCCAGATATTGGGGATCGGCGTATGAGATGTCATGAAACAATCCCACAGCTGGTATACAAAGATGACAAGGTTGTTTGTCTCAACTTTGACAAACTCCATGTTTTCGATTTCTCTAGAGATGTTCCGGTGCTGGTTTTCACAGCTTGCGTAAAGGAATGCGTGAAAAGACAAATAGTTTATTGCATGAAAATTCCACCCGAGGACGACGTTCACAGGAGGAATAATGTGGTAGTCACTCTAGGAGGAGATATCTTGATTGTTACGAGAGAACTTCCGCGACGGTCCATTACATGGAACTTTAATATCTTCAAGATGACTGCTGGTTATTCATCCAAGTGGGAGGAAGTTTTTACTTTGGGAGATGAGGCAATTCTCTTGGAGTTGGGTATAACAGTGCTCGCTAAGGACCTGGAAGGAATCACTAGTAACTCCATCTACTTCTGTGAAGACCTTCATTGGGAATTGGATTACGAAAATGATTTGTACATATACAATCTCGATACAAAGATGGTTGAACAACCACAACGATTTGTTTCTTCCTCCGATCCGTTCTCTAATGCTTGTTGGTTCTTGCCAAGTTTCAAACGGGGATGATTCATCATATACTTATTAACCTTAGAGAAATTGTGGTTTGGATCAGCTAAGTTGTGGTTTTCCATTGAAACTAGATGATTGTCAACTTCTAGTAGTAATGAAGATTTGCCGTAGCTTGTGGCTTACGGTATGCAAGGTCGAGTTGTTCCAGGTAATTTATCTTTATCAAGAATATCTTGTTAAATTATAAATGATCTTGCTTAAACTTAATTCTCAACATGTTCATAAATTTTTGGTTGCTGCCGTGTTGTATTTTTAGATAACCGATTTTGCTGGTTAACATAACCAAACATGCATGTCTTGGGACCAAATCATCAGTTTCTGAATGAAACATCAGATTTTGTTTATAGGTTTAGCTCTTTTTGTGTGTAGCAATCTGTATAATGATGTTTTGATGTCAACACCTGTAAACTTTGTGTTTTCTTGTGGCCCTTGAACCAAACGAGTTTGAAAATTATTAATCTGTGGCTTATACATAAGGACTTTTGATAGTTTACATTTTACAAGTATATAGGAAGGCTTGGTCAAAGCAATGGTCAACTATGGACGATGGTCGAATCTGGCTGATTCTTGTTTGACCCATGTGATGACTTTCTCTGCTTCACGGCCAAGTCTTTGCTCTTCCAATCTCGCTGCTTTAAGCTGATGTTCTTGCTCCTTCACCGAGAAGGTGCCTGTGTCCGACAGAAACTTATCGCCGTCGTCGATTGGCCAGCTCCGGTCGCTGGTTTTGCCCATCGTACTTTCGGTGGTATTTGGAACGCGAGAGCAGCACAAGGTTGAGCCCATGTGGATCAAACCAAAATCTTGATGGAAACAATTGTAATCAGATAGGAAGAAACAATACAACTTTGACCTTTAAGAAAAGAGAAAAAAAAAAAAAATTGAGGATGTTCAAGAACAAATGAGAGAAAGAGAGAGAGGGAGTTGGTTTAGTTGGACCAGAATGTGTTAGTTGCTGAATAATAGTGGTTTGAAAATAAGTTCTAGAAATTGTTTCATTTTCATGACATCAATAATTAAACAAAACAATAGTGTAACTGACTAAATGACAATAGATCATCAATGGGTCATGAACTCTACATGTAATGCTGATGTAACATGCAATATCGCAGAACATTGTTTTTTTCTCTTCTAGAGTACGTGAACATTATTTTAACCTCTTAAGCCTTATTGTTTTCTTGACAAGAAGTAATCAAAAAATTCAGAACCAAATTGGGAAGGAATCAATCGTATAAATGGATCAATTTTCTACAAAATGGAAAAATTGGTACATGCACTAAAGATTTTGAGATATTTATTCACTGTCTCAGTAAGTTTCCAACACAACGAAAGTAAATTTTGGTAATGGTGAGTATGGTCGTGTGCTTTGTAATTTTCCACCTTCATTTTATTAAAAATCCTGTAAATTCAAATTCCTCTCTTTCCCCCAAATTGGAATTTTCTAGGGTTCCAGCGAACCGCATCCGTATTTCCCAAATCTCCCAAATTTTGCGAGTTTGTCACTGATTTCTTCTTGCTTGAATCACTCGTATTCCAATTCCTTTCTTCTTCATTTGATCCGAATCTGTGAAGCTAGATCCAGGAGTGCGCATTTTCCCCTCATTTGGAAAATAGACAATGAGCGACGTCACCGGCGATCTCGCGGCGGTGAGCGAAGCCAAGGGCGGTTCTGACGCCGCCCGGATCGCGGAAGTGAAGGCGTGGCTCACCTCTCAGTTCGAAGCCGCCGGCCGAGAAGTCCCCAATTTCGAGTACACTCATCGAAGCATCGCACATCTGTATAATCTCGCCACCGCTTCTCAGGCCAAGTCTCAGGCTGCAAGCATCGTCGCCAACGATTTTCGTCAGAAGGCTTCAGAATACCGTGCTCAAGGTAACTTGCTTGTAGATCCCAATTCGATTCCTTCTATGCTTCGATAATGAATCCTGTTCATGGATCATCAGGAGTTCCTCCTCATCTGTTTACTGTACTACGCTATCTTCAAAATTGGGTTTTTAAGATCTCTGGGTAAAATTGTGTTGATGTAGCGGCTCGGATTAGAGAGATTTTGGAGAGTGCGGGAATGGCACAGGAGAGCTTACCGTCGAATGTGGTTTCTTCAGCACAAGTTCTTGCAAAAGTGGCGAATTTGTTGAACATAAGAGACACTGAACTGAGCAGGTGAGTTTTTTTCACTGTTACCTCTCTTATTAGGTGTGTTGCTGACTCGAAATGTGAAACTGATGAAGAAGAAAATGTGTGTAGTTTCCTTGTTGCAATGGGAGACATTTCTCTGAGGAAGACTGGGGTGGAGGAGAAAAGGTCTAAAGCACAAAAGGAGTCCAATGTTCTTCTTGATTATACAAGGAAAGCGATACAGAGGCTGACTTATTTGAAGAAGTAAGATTGAAATTATATCTGTTGTACATGTAATGTCTTTCTTTTCTGGGGAAGAGACTGATCTTAATTTATCATTGTGAGCTTTTACAGAATCCTTGCGCAGCTAGAAGATGATGTAATCCCTTGTGAATCACAGATGGAGAATTGGAAAACAAATTTGGGAGTAATGGCAGCGAAGGAGGAACAATACATACAGCAGTACAAGAAGTATGAGGTAGACGCCTTTCTTCTTTCAGTTTTTACATGCTTCTTTAGTGATAAGGTAAATTGAGAATCTGATACCTTTCTGCAATTAAGTTTGGTGTGTGTGCGTGTGATACCTTTATTCAAAAACTGGAACAGACTCTTAGCTAAAATAGGAAGGATTCGTAATAGTAGTTTAAGGCTATGCGTCCACAGTCTGGAAGTCTTTCAATGAATGGGGAATTTGGCTCCTTTAACTACCTGACTTAATCGAAATGAATGGTTGCTAATACCTTATTTCTTATGGATATTCTTGGCAGCTGTTGCTCAACCGTGTTGGCTACACACCTAAGATCAGCCATAGAGAGCTGGTGGAAATGGCAGAGCACCGGAAGGAATTGGAGAAGATGACAAAACCCGTTCTTGATACTCTAAGAAGCTACCAGGACTTACCTCCGGTAATTCTTCATCTCTGGTTCTCCAAGTCTTGATTAAACTCTCGTTATTTGGTCTCCTCTTTGATATTTGGTCGTTGTTAGTCTCGGTTCACAGCTTGCTCATTTCTTAAAACAGGACAAAGCTCTGGCTGCACTAGCAATCGAAGACAAGAAAAGACAGTTTGCAGCCGCGGAAAAGTATCTAGAAGAAGTATTACAATCAGCCCTTGAAACAAGCGACGAATGATTGACAGAGCTAAAATGCAGTCGTCTTCAGTAGACTCTTCCCGGTCTCTGATTTTTCTTTTCACAGTGACACTTTGTGAACTGGTGTATGATGTAGTTTCCTTTTTTTTTCTGCACCACAACTTTCATCTCTAACAGAGAAACAGGCAATGACTTGGTTTTTACTATAAGAAAAATTAACCTCGACTGTTCTAAGTTCAGTCAAAGCCTTGACAATTTCTTAACTACAGCTTTCAACAGCGTAAAACAATGCTAATGCCTCATCATGGATTTCGTTATAAGTCTCAGTCAATAACCATATAATCTTCAGAAATCGAAGAATTTTCTCATTTACAAACAAAATATCTATATTTTTTTAACTCTTTCTAGCCCATCTTTTTGTTTAGTTGCTCCTTTTAAGTCTTTCATTTTCTCCACATGGATCTTGATTTCAACTCTACATGCATCAACAAGGGACTTTGATTGTGAGATGAGATCACTTATTTTTGAGATAGTCATTTCCTTCAGCTTTGTTTTTACATAGCCAATCACATTCTTGAACCTCAGTGCATCAACTTCTTTTTGTGCTGCAACAAGCTCATGTAAGACTGGTCCATCAACTCAAGCTGATCAATAAAAAATAACTAAACATTGAAGAATAAAGTAAAGTTTACAAATATAAATCAAATCAAATCAATATCTCACTTACCTTGGGAAGGCAAGACCACATCAACATCAACATCGGCTCATTTAGCATCCAAAGCTATCAACACTACTCGGCATCAAACCAACACATGTTCAACTTTTTCGTTCTGGTTTACTCTATTTTCTATTTTCTTGTTTCTGGCTTATTCTCTTGTACTCCATTTATCATTTTCATTTTAATATTGTAAGTTTTGTCTTAACTAAATAATACACTAAAAATGCATTTTTTCTAAATTCAGTTTAAGTATTATACAATATTGGACCAACATTGATTCTACAATAACTAGATCCAAAACTAGTTATAGTTTTTAAAAAGTGTAGGTAGATTCAATTTTATGAATTATTTTCTAAGATTATTACGTTTAGGAATGAACAAAAAATACAAGTAAAAGTTATGGTGAAAACGTAATATATGAGTGATTGAGAGAGCAGACGTACATAGTCTAAGATGGTTGGTGGGGAGTGGAGGCGGTTGCATCCAGTGATATTTCTTTTAATATATTTTCATGTACTTTTTAAACATTCTCTTAATTTTTAGATTTGAGCAATCATGCAAACAACCGTCACCGTAAGCTAAAATTGTTAAATTCGGCTACAAGTTCTTTTTCCTTTCTTTAAGCATGTTTTGTTATCTACATAAATTTGGATTGCATGACCTTTTTCAAAGATATATCAGTGGATGCAACCGCATATATGAAAGTTTCTTTAAATTTACTGCCATTATAAATTTTACAACGAAAAACGCATTTTTGAATTTGTTAAATGTGTCGTTTTAGACCAGCATTGATTCCACTACAACTATACCCAAAAAAGTTTAGTTATTTAAATCTTCCGTAAATTATTATGACAATTAGAGAAGCTGTCACAAGAAAATCAACAAAATAAATCGAGAGGAGAGTACAAACTAAAAGATATTGATATAACATGCAAAAAAAAAGAATTATCTTCTAGATCAATTAAGTTTGCTATAAAAACAAAGTACGTACGTGAGAATATATTGATATATTCACCTCTTAAACCTTATTGTTTTTTACTCTATTGTTTTTGTGATCAGAAGTAATCAAAAATTTAGAACCAAATGGAGAAATGATTAAGGCTGATTTACCACACGTATAAAATTGGAAGGAATCAAATGAATATATGAATTTATACAAACATTAATATTTGATCATTCACAATTTCATTTGTAGTGAGTATGGTCGCGTGTCTTTGTAACTTTCCATCTTCATTTATTTGAAAATACTGTAAAATTCAAATTCCGCCAGTAACATTGCTTAGACCCAAATAATCCTCTATTTCCCAAATTGGAAATTTTTAGGCTTCTAGGGAATCACATATGCTTTCGTTTGATCCGACACAGTGAAACAAAATCCAAATGTGCGCATTTTCGGGGCGAAAATCTAATTTGGTCAGAAAATAAATCAAACATGGTCTTCGTTAATCAACCATACCCTTGGTCATTTAAATCAAACAAATCGAATAGTTTGTTACCGGTTAAGCGCAAGCTTTTTGTATACAACGAGATTGGAGTAGATTGTTCTTCACTTTAATTCAGTAGTACACAAGAAAAATTCAAATTCTCTCATCTCTCTCAATCGCAAGTTGGCAATAATCTCACCTGAAAACATTTTGAATTTTATATCGTCATCTAGCATCCTTTTGGTCCGTCATCTAGAAACTTTGGTTTCTAATTAAAATTATCTAGCATCCTTGAGCATTTCTATCCACATATGATAATTAGAGAAGCTGTCACAAGTAAATCAACAAATTAAGTCGAGAGGAGAGTAACAATGAAATGTGTGTTGGTCTTCCTTGTCCTCTAATCCTCTTCCTCAGTTAAGAAATTTGATAAATTAAACAGATTTTATATTTGATTTTCAAAGTCATTACTTGAGAAGAACTTTAGAAAAATTATATATTCTGGTTATTAAATCAATAATACATCTTTATCTTAAAGAATAATATTAGCATTAATAATTATTTTTATAAGTTTCAATTTTTATATAATTCTTTTTCCAGTCACATTAGGAAATATGTCTAAATCACATAACTAAAAAAAAGAATGAGGATTATTTATTAGAAAGGCCAATAAAAATGGGCACCAAAAGTAAATATACGAAAGTTTCCTTAGATTTGTAAGAAAATACTTCCAATTCCATTACAACTAGATCCAAAAAAAGTAGTTCCAGAAGATATATTATCATCCGTCTCTTATAAATCTATTCCCAATCTTCCAAAAGCTATCTATCAATTTGGCCAATTTGATCAATGGCCAAGCCATTGAAGAAAACTAAAAAAGTATCGGCGTCGTCTATGTCTTGTTTGCCCGACGAGATCGTATTGGATTGCTTAGTCCGCGTACCGAGACGCGATTACGAGAACGTGTCTTGCGTCTCCAAGAGGCTCAGGTCCCTTGTGCGCTCGCCTGAGCTCCACCAGATGCGATCCCGCCTCCACAAGGATCCTGTTTATATATGCATCTGGGAAAGGGATAACTATTCTACGGATCCCACCTACCTTTGGTTCACTCTGCGACAGACGACGGCGACCGAGTATCAGTTGGTCCCGATCCAGTTCCCCTCTGGATATTTCATGTTCAGTTCTTCCACCGTCGCCGTGGATTCAGAGATCTACTTTGTCGGAGGACATCCAAAGCCCACGGAGCTGTGGATCCTTGATACCCGATCGGGTGAGTTTCGTCAGGGCCCGATCATGCGGCAGCCCCGATCTGTGGCGGCGAAAAGCGCCGTGGGAGTAGTCGACGGGAAGATGTACGTGACGCAGGAACTGAAAAACGGGTCAATTGAAGAGGAGGTTTTTGACCTCGAATCGCAAACTTGGCAAGACGCGGGAGTTCCTGACGAGAAAGTGGGCACCATTCCGATGGTGCAGTCAAGTGTGACACTGGATGGGAAGGTTTATGCGATGAATAATGGAAGTATCACTGTCACCAATTTGAGACGAGGTAGAAGAAAGGAGAAGCTGGAGATGCCAATTGTCTACCGTTTGAGACAAGGTAAAAAGATGGCAACTAATGATCGGGTTTGGTGCATATGCGTGGCAGACTATAAGCTCTTTGCTTTTTTTACCGACTGTGGGCTAATGTGGCTTGACACCAAGCACAATATATGGAGAGTGGTCAGTGGTGATATGCCTCGCAAGTTGTATGGCGGTGCAATGGTGGAATACTATGGAAAGCTTGCGGTTTTCTGGAGAGAACGTATTTCAAATCAGAAACAAGAGAAGATTCGGTGTGCAGTGATCGCGTTGGCTAGGGTTGGAGAAGAAGAAGTTCGCGGGACGATTGAATGGTCTGGTGTGGTCGCCACCATCCCATATGTCTGTGGCTTTCTGCATTGTCTTGTTGCTTCAGACTGATTTACATGTTGTGTTCGATGAGAAGAAGGCCCTTGGAAACGAAGACGAGTTTTTCATTATGCCAAGTTTGTTCATTCTGAATAATATGATCAGCTTAGTCCTCTGAGTTAGGTTGATGGTGGATCTCATTTGTTTTGCGCATTTTCCTTATGGTTCCATGTTGTACTTTACTTATATTATCTTTTTTATTTAAATCCAGTTATGTTATGTAACGACCTGGATTTTAGTCTCATACATCAAAACTTACTCTTTAGGCAAGCTGCAGAGAGCAGAGAAGCTCTCTAACTACATTCCAAGTCGTAATCTCATTGTCTTTGTGTTATAAGCTTACTGTTGTTGATAGAGGAAGATATAGATAGTAACCAAGCCTTGAGACGCTGCAGGACCAGAAACTATGATCATAGCCATCAATTACAACTTTCTTAATTTCCTCAACATCCTTAATCTATACTTAAGAGCTGGGTTTCTGTATTTTTCAAATACAGAGCAGAAACTAGTTAGCAAGCACAAAACATCAAAATTTGCTCTTTAGGCTGCAAAGCAGAGAAGCTCTCTAACTTCAACAATGCTCTCAATCCATTAACATTCATAGATTAAGCTGTAGCATTTGACATAAAAGTCTCTTGTTGAAACTTGTTGTTCCTACTCTAACACCACTAATAGATCTGGTGTGTTTGTGTGTGATACTTTATGTAAAAACTGGAACAAACTCTTAACAAGCTTTAACAGGAAGGATTGAAACAAGTAAAGAGACTTTTCTGATCTAGGACCAAACAACCTCAAGTAAACGTTGACGAGTGTCCCATCTTTTGTTCCGGTCAGTAATCCGGTTGCAGGATCAAACCTGGAGATTCCAGAAGACAAGATGAGTGGTGTGTATCTTCCTTAATCAATCTACAAACTAACAAAAGGTAAGAACACAAAGGTGGTTACCTTGGGAGACGATGGCGCGGACATTTCACAATGCCAGCAAGCTAAAGAGTTATATATAGATAGTATGTTAGATTGTTGAAACTTGATTTCACAAGATCATAGCATGCAAGAGAAGAGTGTAATTAGACAAGAACCTGAGGAAGTGACAATAGAAAGTTCAGAACTTGAGGAAGAAAGAAGATGAGAAGGGTCTCACTGCAAAAGCAAAATTTCAGAAGAGAAAGATGGCATGGAATCATTTAAATGATGAATCTGAGCATAAAGTAGGAAAAACTAAGTAGGTTTTTGGAAATTTACCTGAAGTGGCCCAAAATGCCAACAACTGCCATAGTCATTCCAGCAAAAACTGTGTAAGTGTCACCAACAAAAACTGAAGAAGGATACCTAACAGCAGAAGATGGCAAGAACAGCTCAGAGAAAGCACTACTTCAACTAATAAAGAGAAAACCTTGTAAAAATTTTTACCAGTTGTAAGCAAGCAATGCCAAGGACGTTGCCATCAGCGGTTGCGTAAGAAATATCGAAAAGGCATGAGCTTGATGATACTCAGGATCAACAGTTGCTCCAATTTGCATAACGTTATGTATCAGGATCTACAAGTAACTGCGATGCATCACATCTCAACCCAAAAAAAGGAACAGACGGAGACGAATTCAGAGACATTCATAATTTATGACCATAGGACTTACAGCAGCCGCAGTAACAACTGTTTGACCAATCTCAAGACCATTTAGACCAGCGTGAATGTTTATAGAGTTTGTGCAAAAGACGGCAAGTAACCCCATATACAACTTATATATCCTTCCTGCCACATTCAAACATCTATTGAGCTAAATCATAATCATTCACCTCCTCCAATCATACAATTACAAATGAGCGTAACATGGTACCTAGATCAAGCACTTCCAAGCCAATATAAGCAACTAGAGGTTTCGGTACGACAATAGTTGTATGTCCAGCATAAGCCATCAGCAGTGGAAGCGTAGCGAAAGATGGCAGCACAAGTTTCCTTTTGTTTTAAATTGAAAAAAAAAGAGATCATAATTGTATGAATCAAAACGCCGTAAGTGAAGAAGGATATAGGAATTAATTTGAGAGCTTACACTCTCCATGGAACATCAAGGACATCATCAACAAATCCAAGCAAAATCATGAAGCAAATGGATGCTAGTGCTGCATTATACTCCACAAGCCACTAACACAGAATCATCAGCCAGATTCAGTAACATTGATAAAAGGAGATTCAAGCTGAGAACAATATACACACTTACATTCGAATCTTCAGTGAAATTAAAATACTGAAAGATTATCGCAACGATCAAGAAGACGATACCAACAACAATCCCCAACGATTCAGGCCTGAAATGATTAGAAGATTTTGATTATAATTTTAAGCTAAAGTTCACACCAAATGGATCAAAAAACTTACACTTTGATTTCTCCTTGAGGCGTTCCTCTTTTGTTGATATCGAAACCAAACATGTTACGCCTGAGAACGTATCTGGCAGCTACAGGAATCATCTTAAGTGTGACGAAGAACCCAAACAAGCTAAGCCCAGCGTTGATGAGGATCGAACGCTTGAGCTCGCTATCAACCTTGTAGTGGAAACAGAGGAGGTAGAGATAGAGTGAGCAGAGGAGAGCAGAGATCACGAAGATCACTCCCAGTTTCGGCGGCGCGAGACGGAATTCGTCGCCGGAAGCAGCGGCGGTCTTCCGGGTCATCTTCTGCTCCGACGGCGCTGATTTGGGTTCTGACGCATCCGGTTTGTTCGAAATTGACGTGAAGAAGCTCTCTTACGAGCTGCCATGGCGGATCCGTTCGCTCGTTTTCGATTCCCCGCTCTCTGGATTTGATTACGAATAAGCTCGCTGAGAAAATAAACAGAGCAAATTCTGTTTAGGCGTCGTCACAGAGACCAACAGAGCTTTGCCATTTGGCTGCAATACGACACCGTGTCATCCAAGTAGGATTTTTGAGCTTTTTAAAATTATGTGAATAGTCAAAAAACACCTTTTTTGAAAGAACTGGTAAAAAAATATTTGTTGGACTTGCTGAGAATTTAGGGCCCAATTCGAATGAAACATCATTTTAGTTCAAAACCATGAACTAAGCTCAATTGTGTAAACGTATAATTTTTCGATATCAAGTCTTACATGTTTGTTAAGAAAAATATGTAATGGAAACTAGCACCAACAGTTTAATTTCTTGTCAAAAGAAAAAAAAAAAAGCTTACACAAAATTCAATCAGCTAATACAAACTGTCTTGCATGCATTTTTAGTATCGACATCTATAGTTGATCTCGATTGTTCGATTCTTTCTTTTTTTGGTAGTAAATGAAAAACAAAGATTTAGGATTGAGATGGAACCACGAGAGAGGATAATGTGAACAGGAAAAAATAGTGACGGCTTATATTAAGATTTAAGTTGTGAACGCGTTTGTTTGTTACGTGGATTAATGATAAAAGTTTTAAGGAGTGTGATCAAAGAAACTTTAAGTAAAGCAAACGAATCATAAATATTCTGAAAGGACGTTTTTATTTCTTTGGCAATGCCATAGCACGAACCTCCTAGACGTAATATTTTTTTCAAAAACTATATGAAAATTAGTTTGAGGAAAACCCATTATTTCATCATAGTGGCAACCAAGTGTATATACCAACATAGATAAATAAACAAAAGGAAAAGGAATGCACTATGTGTCCCCACACGGTTCCATTGAGACAAAGTCATACGTATGTGTGTGACTATATATATAGATATAAGTTGGTTCTTGAACATCATTACATGTAAATTGATCACACACACAAAAGAGATAGAAAAATGGGAGTGTACTTAAGCAACTATTATTACGTGTTGATAATAGTGTTTGTCTTGGGAAAAGAAGTGAGAAGCCAGTCGTTAAAAAATGGTTATTATTCAACTTCATGTCCAAAAGCTGAGTCCATAGTAAGATCCACCGTTGAATCTCACTTTGATTCTGATCCCACCATTTCGCCTGGCTTACTTAGGCTTCACTTCCACGACTGTTTTGTTCAGGTTCCAATTCTTCTTCTTCTTTAGTCTCAACAATCTTCTTTTGTCATCTATACGCACGCAAGCTAAGTTAATTGATTAATTGTTCCTGTTAGTTATTAGGGTTGTGATGGATCGGTTTTAATCAAAGGGAAATCTGCGGAGCAAGCCGCTCTACCGAAACTCAGTCTTAAGGGGATGGAAGTGATTGATGATGCGAAAGCCCGGCTTGAGACGGAGTGTCCAGGAGTTGTGTCATGTGCAGATATACTTGCACTTGCTGCTCGTGACTCTGTTGACTTGGTACGCAAGTTTCACTAAACCTAATTAGGGCTTACCTGATTCTTTGGGTAGAATTTTGATTTAATTACGTATGGAAACAGAGTTCTGGGCCAAGCTGGCGAGTTCCAACGGGTCGTAAAGATGGGAGAATCTCGTTGGCATCGGAAGCATCGAATCTACCTTCGCCACTTGACTCTGTTGCTGTTCAAAAGCAAAAGTTTCAAGCTAAAGGCTTGGATATTCATGATCTCGTTACTCTTCTAGGTACGTATGTGTTTTTATTCATCTATTCTACTTATTACCCGTACGCACGTAGCTAGAAACGTGATTTTCTTTAAAATCGTCATTTTGTTTGTGTTATAACTGAAGTTTATAAAGAAAATTCCCACCGTTGCCATCTAAAGATTAATAACACTTGCTTCTCCTCTGTCTAATGAAATTTTGCCACAACGTTCAACAAAAAGCAACTGACTTTGTTACTCTGAGTTACTACTTAACACCAATGTTAACAAAAAATTACGTTGATATACAAGGAAACTAAAGTGATGTTCTGTATTTGTGAGGGAATGGCACAAGAGAGCTTACCGTCGAATGTGGTCTCTTCAGCACAGGTTCTTGCAAATGTGCGAATTTGTTGAACATAAGAGACACTGAACTGAGCAGGTGAGTTTTCACTGTTACCTCTCTTGTTAGGTGTGTTGCTGACACGAAATGTGAAACTGATGAAGAAGAAATGTGTGTAGTTTCCTTGTTGCAATGGGAGACATATCTCTGAGAAGACTGGAGTGGAGGAGAAAAGGTCCAAAGCACAAAAGGAGTCCAATGTTCTTCTTGATTATACAAGGAAAGCGATACCGAGGCTGACTTATTTGAAGAAGTAAGATTGAACTTATATTTGTTGTACATGTAAACCTTGGGGAAGAGTCTGATCTTATTCTATCTGTGTGAGCTTTTGCAGAATCCTTGCGCAGCTAGAAGACGATGTAGTTCCTTGTGAATCACAGATGGAGAATTGGAAAACAAATTTGGCTTGGATACTCATGATCTCGTTACTCTTCTAGGTAGGTATGTTTTTATTCATAGATTTATTTTCATAACCTCTGTCCAAAGAGGACCACGTCAGAATACTGAAATCAAAGGTATGGACACACGCCATCATGGAAATTTAAGGTTTAAGTGCCTATATATGATCCATCCGTGGGTCTAATCTTATTTTGTACAGTAGCTTTTATTTAGTAATATTTTTTCGTTAAAAAGGAGAAAACAGATTGAAGTAAGCTGAAAGTTTTGAAAACAGATTGAAACAAAGTTATACTTCAAAAACGCCGGTAGCTAGAAGAGTGGTTTTCTTAAAATAGTCAGCTTGTTTGTTTTATAATCAGGAGTGATTTATTATGAATTGTACGAACAGAAACTATGATCAATGAGAGCTTTCCTAAATTCCTCAATTTTAAGAGCTTGTCTTGTTTCAAATACAGAGCAGAAAGTATTATGTTTATGCAATGACTAAGTAAGAGAATAGAGGCTGAGAGAAGAGAGATAGCAAGAGAGAAATAAAGAGAGTTTCAAGAGAGTGTGTTGAACTCTACTTCTTTATTCTTCTTTGTTCCAAGCTGCAAACAAGAGAGAAAATTGTATTAGTGTTTTTACTTTTCTCAAAATTTTACTTTTCATGTCTAAGCAAAGGCAGCGTAAAAAAAAAACTTACACATGCAATCACTCACTCTTCCTTGCTTCGTACTGCTTTGAAACCTCAGTCATAAGAGCATGGACGATTTCAGAGAGCTCAGCCAGCTCTTCAATGTTCATCTTCTTCACCCTAACATCTTTTTCATGTTAGACATACCTCTGAAAGATCTTTGACTCCATCTCCCATTTAGTCTTCTCAAGCTTAGCACATATTAAGTCTTCAGCATCTATCTTATCCTCGAGCTCTGTTTTGAAACAGAGATTGGCCCATCTAAGTTCCTTATCGCTGCACCAAAACAAAGCAAAAACCGGAATGTTTAAAGAAAAGGAAAGTTATACAAATCTGAATGTTTGAACAAAGGAAAGTTTACAAATTAAGCTCACCTTGGGAAAGGCAACACTAATTCGGTTTCGGCTCCTTCTTTATCTTCAAGAACTAGCAGAGCTCCTTTTTTTCCACATTGAATAGCCAGTTTCTGAAGCTGAAGCTTGAGATCTTCAATTGTGGCATGGAATACTTGCTGCTTGTTTAAATTCTCCATCTGTGCAAGAGAAGAGAAGCTTGTTTTAACCTTGAGAAAACCTCAACTCACATATATTCAAAGAGAATTACCACAAGCTTTTCACACGCTCTCCAAATAGCCTCAGCTGTTGCATCTGTTATACCGTGGATTCCGTTGAGCATCTGAGTCATAAATCAACATATACAATCATACAAATGGTCTCTCTACGAAGCAATACAAACAAATGTGTAAAGTATGTATTCCAATTGAGAAGAAGCTCATACCTCCTTGTTCTCCACCATATTACAGGTCTCGAATCCAGAAAGTAAGACTCTACTCACATCACGAGCGTGAATTCCATGGTCGAGCACTGGTTTTCAATTTTTATCACCAAAATCAGTTTTCTAGGAAATAAATGAAGCGACGATAATCGGCGAGACACAGAAGATTTTCGAAACCTAGAAAATTCTCATCAAACCGAGCAGATTTTCAAATTCAAAACCAAATCTACTAGTCCTATCATCTACAAAATTTATGCTGCATACTTACAAGCTTCTATGGGGATTTCGTCTGCTTCGAGTTCGATTGGGATTTCTCCTGCTTCGATCGCTGCCTCAATTTCTGCCATCTGCTTTGAAACAGTGAGAGAGAGAGAGAGAGTGTGTTACAAGTAAACCGTGCTTTCAATTGAAGAAGATAAAGGAAACTCCAATGTTCATTAAACAAAGAAATCTCGAACAAACCTCAAGAATTCAACCAGAGATAAGAATTCCTCAAGAGAGACGATTACAGGAAGAGAGAAGAAGAAGAAAACTGTAACAACTTTTCAATAATGAATCTAATTTTCTCTTGATCGTCGTGACTTGATTCTTTCTTTTTGACCCACTTTGTAATCTCCACCGTTGATTCTCATAAATGATCACAGCCCTCCATTTAAAACACTTCGTAACTCCCTTGTCTTGGGTTCGAGTCTCGACCTGTGCAGCGAGATGTTACAAAAAAAAAAAAAAAGTGTTATTGTTAGTATCCTCTATCCTGATTAGTGTTATTTATATTGCCAAACACATATCATATAACGGACCAATCAATTAAATATGCACGGAGAGAGAATGTGACAAAAATGTTTCTCGCCAAAAATTCTATTTTTTCTTGCTTGATCAATGCTTATAATTAAAGAGACAACTTTTAGTCTTTTACTCTCTTTCTCCCTCATTGTTTTAGCCCTTCTACTTAACCATTTGTATGAATTGTTCTCCTTTTCTTTTCTACATAGATGATCTTGGAACCACAAACTACAGCAGCTTCGGATCAGTGGCCTTCGTTTAATGATCTTGCCTATAAAATAAAAGACTAATCACCTAGAATCTGCCTCTAGGTAATTATATTACCTGTCTTTAAAGCCATGCCATCTCCAAAAGAATTAAGAATAGACACGGCTCAAAACCACAATTCTTTATTGCCTTCACCAGATAATCATAAGTCATAGCAATTATTAGACAAGCGTAAATAAATGCTAACATATTCTGTAGATTGTTGTTCGTATTTCATTTCCATTCCATACGCGTGAGTACTTAGTAGATTATTGTTCATGTGAAGTCGTATGAACAGTTCTGAACAGTTCCCCTTCAATCTCTATCACTATTACTTCCCTAAATGGACCAAGGTGATCCACATTCCACAAAGCCCGTTCTGATATCTCTTGTATAATATCTCTCACCAAGCTTGAAATCATACTTAAGAAGTACATTCAAAGTTATACACTTTGGGTTGATTCCAAGCTTGGAGTTGATTGCGTGGTATGCTAATGCTGCTTGAGATTCACCATCAAGGTTAAACTGCAACACTTTTCTAGCAGTTGCTTGAGATGATTTAGTCCTAAATCTCAGTCAGTAACCAACTAACCATAGAATCTGCAAGAAACAAATATTTCTCATTCTTTTAATTAAACGCTTCCTCATGTACAAATAAAATATCTATCTCATCAATATCTAATGACATACCTAAAACTTTTTTTAGTATCTTGAAAAGTGAAAACATAATAAGTTCCATAACAAAGAGACAATAACACATACTATATTTTTACGTACTTGTATTTATACTAGGACATACTCTATACAGATCTTCTTCTTAGTTCCCTCTAGCATCCAAATCCTTTTCTTGGTTTTTGTTTAGTTGATCCATGAACTCTTTCTTTTTTTTTCCACGTTGATCTTGATTTCACCTCTACATGCATCAATAAGGGACTTTGATTGTGAGATAACATCACTAATTTATGTCGGTCATATTAGTCATCTTTTTGACCATCACATTTTCTCATATTTGATGTTTCATTTAAACTTCATGTATTTTCTTTCCCAGTTGATCTCTTCGGCTTTAACATCAACAAGATCGCAAAACATATTTGTTTTCACTCACTTTCTTTTTTTGTAACTTGCTCTCTGGTTATCTTATTCATTTTACTATTACAAATTTTATTGCTATCGAAATAATGCACGAAAAACGCATTTTTAATTTGTTAAATGTGTTATTTTGGACAAACGCCGATTCCACTACAGTTTTACCCACAAATATTTTAGATATCAAAATCTTCCACAAATTATTATTACTATCTTTTGTGGTTTGAAAATACGTTTAATTATTGGCTAAGCCGTTTGAAAAAACAAAACAAAAAAAAACTTATAGGTTTGTTGGCAGAAATGCCCTTCTAGTTATAATTAACAAAAAAAAAGAGTTGATAATAGATGCATGCATAGAAAATGTTTGAATGAAAAACAAAATAAAAGTAAAGAGTTAAAGTGAATTACGAAAAAGAAAATCTGGTTAATACACTACAAAAGATGCAATCTTTCAAAATAAATAAAAAAAAATAGTTGTTGTTATTAATAAATATGTCTAAGATATAATCTTTTCGTAGTCATGAACTTTCTGTCATCTACGGCTTTTATAATTATCAAACATAATTATGAGATAGTTTTAGGGATATCCAAAACTATAGGGATTCATTACAAATCCAATAAGTTAAAATATTTTCCAGGCTAAGGACTCAGGCTATCAAGTACGTCTTTCTCGTGGTTACTTGTAAATAAAATGATTGAGTTCTAACCGTATGTGTATTAGCTCAATGGATTCTAAAATCGGAAATTTCTTTTCGATTCTATCGATTACTTCTTCAGCATTGGTGCTAAGATTTCATGGTGCGACATTGATATAACTGAACTCATTATATTTTAGATATTTTGAAATCGATAATCATATCATCAAGATCTTTCTAAAATGAAAATGCAATTGCTGTGAAATTTGTTTGAAATCGGAAACTTTACCTATATGTGTTACTTACACGCCAAGTAACATTTGACCTCTTCAGGCTTAACACGAATGGGATCCCAAAACATCAAAACAATTTTTGTTTTCACTTAATTTCTTTTCTTGTATCTTGCTCTCTACTTATCTTATTCACTTTACTATTACAAATTTTATTGCTATAGAAATAATGCACGAAACAAACACATTTTTATTGTCAAAGACTCAAAGGTATTGTTTTGGACCAACACCGACTCCACTACAACTTTACTCACAAATATTTTAGTTATCAAAATCTTACACAAATTGTTATTACTATCTTTTAGTTTTAAAATACGTTTAATTATTGGCTAAGCCCTTTGAAAAAAACAAAACAAAAAGAAACTTATAGGTTTGTTGTCAGAAATGCCCTTCTAGTTATAATTAACAAAAAAAGGAGTTGATATAGATGCATTCAAAAAAATGTATAAATGAAAAAACAAAATAAAAGTAAAGAGTTAAAGTGAAAGAAAAAGAAAATCAGGTTAATACACCACAAAAGATGCAATCTTCCACACAAAAAAAAAAACAAAACAAAACAAAAAGTTGTTGTTATTAATAAATATGTCTAAGATATAATCTTCTTGCAGTAAAGAACTTTCTGTCATCTTCAAATTTCATAATTTTCACATAATTATAGCGATAGTATCCTAAAACTATAGTGAGTCATTACAATTCTAAAATTTTCAAAAGTTATAATATTTTCCAGGTTTGGGCCTTAGGTCCTCAAGTCCGTCTTTCTCGTGCTTATTTATGATTAAAAAGATTAAGTATCAACCGTATTTGGATCGGCTCAATGGATTCTAAAATCGGAAATTATTCCGAATTCATTTCTTGATGATTGATCGGATTATTCTGAACTGAGCTCTATAAATTTTAGAAATTTTGAAATCGATAATCATATCCATCAATATCTTTTTAAATGAAAACGCAATTACTGTGAAATTTGTTTGAAATCAGATTATTAGTTAAAGCTAGAAGATCTCTTTGGAACTTTACCAACATGTGTTACTTACACGCCAAGTAACATTTGATGCTTTCTTTTTAGGGTTGTGAGAAAGAGGTTAAGGAAGCCACAGATGGTGACTCGGAAGAACAAAAGAAAGAGAGCATTATGCGATTATCATGGGCTCTTGTTCATTCCCGATAAGCTGGAGATATCCAGCGTGGATTAGCCATGCTTGAAGGTATAGTCTTAAACTCGTGTTTTGTCCTAATGATCTTCCCTTTCATGGTGATGTAAAGTGTAAACGAGAATTTTTACACACTCTTTTTTTGTTGCAGCTTCTCTAGAAAGCAGTAGCCCTCCATTGCAAGATCGAGAGAAGCTTTATCTTCTTGCTGTTGGATATTACCGTACGGGAGATTACTCAAAGAGCAGACAGCTCGTGGAGCGTTGCATCAAGGTTCATATGTTTTTTTTAAGAACTTACTCTGTTTTTTCTTTGCGTTGAATGGTGTTGTTTAGATACTATCCACTTCTTCTTACTCTTGTAACGGTTTTGCTTCATAGATTCAACCTGATTGGAGGCAAGCTTTGGTCTTAAAGAAAACCATTGAAGACAAGATCGCAAAGGGTAATTAAAAGCGTTTTTTTAATATCCTTTTTCACCAATGTGAATTAAGAATTGATCTCTGATGTAAAACTTCGTTGGTCTTCAATTGCAGATGGTGTTATTGGGATAAGCATCACAGCTACAGCCGTTGGACTCATAGCCGGAGGAATCGCTGCAGCCTTGGCTCGCAAGAAATGATCTACACTACCTCTATAGATTATGTGTGCATACGATAAACTCATAAACAATATGCTTTTTTATAAGTTTTATTTTTGTTTTTTCAGCCTTGAATTTGTTCCATTATATTGTTTTTTCTCAAATTGTTTTCTTTCTAAATATCTTGATACGTTTTTGTCATATAAAAAACAATATATATATCTCGATATGTAAGGTATTGCTTTTTCAGTTCTTGTCTCTCATGTTCTATTTTCTGACTAAATTTGGTCCGGCAAAAGGTAATTGAGTTTTGGTGGAAAAAAGTTGTGGAAAAAATAATACGGCCAAAGAAATGTTTTTATTTGCGATGAATAAAACGAACACTGACCGAAGACATATTGATCGGATTTGATTGGGCTCTACATTGTAGAGGTGACATTGACACTCCCATAAATATTGGCTTTTCTACTTTCTTTTCTTTTTTTCCTTTTTATTCAAATTTATTTTTTATAGATTTATATGCGTTAGTACCTTAGTGTTTTTGTACATGATCAAAGGTGTTTTTGTTTTTTTTTTTTTTTTTTTTTGTGGATTGTAAAAAGGGTTAACATGATCAAAGGTGTGTCATCATGTAATGTCCCAATCTCGTCGTGTTAATCTTTACACGACAATAGATTTGATGTTTCAAATTTTAAGTTATAGATGACAAACTGATTGCTTCCATTTTAAGTTTGCCAATCAATTCACACATCTGCTTTACTAAAGGTCTAAACTCTTTATTCAAGAGATGTATATTACATATATGTACCTTGTAATCTCCCCTGCTTAAACTTTTAATACAGTTTTGTTTATCAGATTTTGTGGATAAATGAAAGAATTAGAAAGAAGAAAAGTTACATTTGATGGGAGTCGAACTACAGCTGAAAAAAAAAAAATTGAACAAAATACTAGACATGTTTCAATTGGACTATACGTGTCTTGAGCCATCATCAATAGTTTTATCATGTATATATGCATGTCGAAATCAATTAAGTATCCATTATAATCCTCTAAATATTTTCAAAACCTGTAACATTTTGGTTGAAGATCCCAATAATGTGAAATGAAGCGATGTTCGACGTGGAATTGCATACCGTCTCATACGGCAATGGATAATCAGCCACACAACAAATATTTAGAAACTATGGAAACTTTTCAAAGGGAAGAAAAAAAATAATTAAAAGAAGAAAATATTTGTGTTGTCTACATGCATATAATATGATTATATTCTTATACCCAATAAGACATTGCTGATGCAAATACATACAAAAACTTCAATTAAAAGACAGTTCTCGAATCACGGATACAACAAAATAATGTGAAATTATTATTGTGATAGGTTTAACATTTCCAACATTTTTTAACAGATGGAACATCTTAGAACTGATATATAATATACGGCTCAATTATTTTCCCTAATTTTTAAGTGCCTCCAATATCATTTCTTTACTTGCATGCAAACAGAACAAGGGAAAAACTAGGGTAAAGAAAGTAAGGAATTAACTGACGACAAAATTAATCAAATGATTAATCAATACTCCCTCGGTTTCAAATTAGTTGTCGTTTTGGCAAAATGTATCTGCAATTATTTGGATGTATCTGCAATGCAAAACACGTCCAGATACGTCCAAATATTTGGAGATACATTTTGCCAAAACGACAACTAATTTGAAACGGAGGGAGTACTACAATTCTAGAGCAACTAGATATAATAACCCTAAGTCCTATAATTAATTATATAACGCATGGTTTTAAGTTCCTCCATGACCCTCTTCTTCGTACTCTCCTTACATGTCCTCATTTCCATATACAAAAATATATATAGAAGATATAAGAACTAAATTAATAAATATATAGAGAGAGTCTTAATGATCAAGATATAGAGACCAATAGAGAACTAGAAGTGATGCTGATGATGCTGATGATACATAGTAGATGGGTCATGATGATGGTGATGATGATGCCGACTCATACCTTCCCTCTGACTGTTATGGTCGTCTCCTTGATCCCTACCCGGACCCATCTGACCCGTACCCGCTCCAAGATTGAGATACACCAATCTTGAATCCAAATTGTTATTACTTCCTCCACTACTTCCACTATTGTGCTCCTCGTTCATATGAGGGTAAATGGCGTTGTTGTTGTGATCATTATTGTTATTGTTTCCTTCTTCTCGTGATATCACCATTGCAGCGGACTGAACAAGCTCGAGGCAAAGCCTAAGCTTGTTTGGTTCAATGTGAGTCAATCCAGGAACTGCCCCCTTGAACAAGAAATCCGACGTTAACGTTCTAAGGATATCAAGAGGAGTGATTCCACCGACCGTCCTCACATTCGGATCAGCGTGATGGTCTAACAGAACAGCCACCATGTCAGGAGAGACCATCTCAGCCGCAATGTGCAATGGTGTTTTCCCCGCAGGACCGGCAGGGTAATTCACATCGGCTGCTCCAAGTTCAAGCAAAGCCTTGACAACTTCTCTACTACAGCTTTCAACAGCGTAATGCAACGCTAATGACTCGTCAAGATTGAGTCCTTCTCCCATAACCATTAGCTTCACTAGCTCCACGTCTGATGAGTCCAAAGCCCGTCTCATCCTTCTAATCTTTTGATCTTCAAGGTCTTGAGCCACGGTGAGATCATGGTGATGATGTGGCATTAGAGAACGGCGAGCTATGGAAGATTTGAGACGAAGCTCTTCAATCTTGGCCACGACGTCGATGGTGAGATGTTTGGCTAGAATCTCCGGGGGGAGACCTGATTTAGCGACTAGGTGAGAGCAAGTGGTCCATAGTTGGTGCATGTCTTGCTTCCTTGATGCTATCAAGACTTTCATCACATCTTCAATTGAGGCTTTCTCCACCATGCTTGCCAATTGTTTCTGCCAATAATACAAACAGTTTTGTTGATTAGTGTCAAATCCCAATAACCGACCTTTTTAAGCAAGTGGGGTTAATATCCTTTTTTAGGTTATCTTTTTTTTTTCTTTCATTTCTTGTCATTTCAAATGGTTGTGGAGTAGGTTTTATTCGTTATCTCTGGATTATTATCGAAACCCCAAATGAGGAAAATTGAGGGAATAATGGGATTGGATAAGAAATTAAGTCTAAAGAACTGAATAGATCCTAACTACATGTTATAGCTCTTCAAAGTTTCTACTTTAAGCAAAATTCTCATCCGTGCAACAAAACCACCGTCTTCTAATTCCGGAAAAAAAAAATCCGACGGTGGTCCTTTCCAAGAAAATAAACTCATGTACACATGAAATCAAGACAAGACCAAAGTTTATCTACATACACACTTGTGTTTATAAAATTAGAAGAGTATTGGAATTTAACAAATTTGAACCAAACCAATAAAAGAAAAACAATCGAGTCAAAAGGGTTTCGAGATTAACCAAAATATAAGCCAAACCCACGAAAAACAAAAAGGAGCAGAACAAGAACAAAAAGTGGGAAACAATTTATTTTGTTTCCGTTTGATGTGCATGAAGAAGTAAATTGAGAGAGAACCTGAGTGAGCAATGCGAGTTGCTCGACGCCGAAGTAACGAGAAGCAGCGAGTGTATCGAGAGCAAGATCGACGGCGGCTGAGCAATGCGTGTGCCAACATCCTCTCTCTCCGCAATTCGGTCTCGGTTCGTGTTTCTGAGGAACGATGGAGACTTGTCCGCTGTAAAGGAACTGAAGCAGCAACAGAAACACCTCGTAACCGACTGAGTTCACTGGTATGACTCCGGCTGGGGCCGTGGAGCCTCTTGTTGGGCTAGCGGGTACTGAACCATGTCGGGTCGGGTCTATGCCTGTGCCTGATTGTGGTGGGTCGGTCCCACAGAAGAATTTGCGGAAGAAAAGGCTCCGGGCGGCGAGGATGCAACGGTGGGCGTGGACTAGACGACCTTCGACGCTGAAAGTCACGTCGGAGAAAGCTTGACCGTTGATTAAAAGGTTTAGAAAATCCAACGACAGAGATCTCAGGGATTCTTCGAGGCTGCTCATCCTTTTCTAAATGAAAAAGGTAAAGGTTCTTCAATTCTATCTAGAAATCTAGAAAAGAAGAAAAAAAAAGCTAGGGTTTAGCAAGGAGTCTCTTGGAGAGAAAAAAATAATAAAAAATATTAATCTCCTTTGATTGATTTCGTTGGCTAACTAGAAGATTAAGTTAAGGGTTATTTTATTTTGAAGAAGAGATAACTTTTCCGGGAGAAATGCTTAAGCTTTGATCTTGTGAAGCTTCTTGCTCCTCTCTGAGAGAAAGAGAGAGAGAGAAGGATTCTTTATTGCTTTGTGGTGTTAGATATTTTTTGGCCTGATAAGAGAGAGAGAGAGAGTAAATGAGAGAGAGAGAGAGAGATTTGAATGGTTGAACCGGGCGGCTCAGATATTTAAACTAAGATGGTAAAAAAACAAAAAAAAATACTACTGTAACTCTTTTGTCTTGATAGGGATTAAAAAGGGTTAAAAGAATTAAAACAATGGAAAATTAGTGATTTGGTTACCAAAAGAGGAAAATAATTATTAAGAAGAAAAGAATACAGGGTGGGCCAAATCTAGTAATGGAATTGAAAATAATTGAAATGAAAAAACTATAATATAAATGTTGAGAAAGTGTTAATAAATAATGAACATCATTAGCATCTGACTAATCAAAATCCTACTAAAACTCATCAGACATTAAATTTCCAAAAAGAGATGTATATGTTGAGCAGAATAATATAATAAAACCAAGATCCTCGGCAATTGTCTTTTTGGCTTGATACAGATTACAGAACATGTGAAAGCCTGAACAACATCACCATGGAGACATACATAAATATGAATCATGTATGTGTGTATATGTAAGGATGTGCATGGAAATGGGATAAAATGGTAAAATTGAGAGGAAGGTGATGGATAAGAACATAGGCCTAATTAAGTTAAAAGACAGAAGGAGTGAAATAAATTTCCTAACTGTAGTGAAACCTGATTTGATGGTTTTCTGTTTGACCGTTGGACCAATCCTCACCATCTTTCCTTTCCCCTCTATACTTTTTTTGCCTTTTCTCATTAATTAAAAGCTTCTTTAAATTTGTGTTTGTTTTGTGCTGAATTATTTGTTTTCATATATATACGAGAGGATCCTAAACCATAATCAGACTAATTTTCACATTTTACATTAAAAATTCGGATATTCTTGCAAATGACAGCATCTGGAATGGTAAACTATGATTCAAATAAATGTAGTTCGTACAACCTTGGAAATTATCTAACGTGTTAGATATACAACTAATATAATGATGCTCTAAATTTTATTATAAATACTTTATGGTATCTTTTGTCATGTGCTCATAACAACTTCTCAAATTGCTATATATTTGATATATTAAATCTTGTCAATTATAAATATGGTTGGATACGCATGCATGTTACTCTAATGAAAGTAGTACTAATAATCATAAAACAAAGCTATTATTAGAGTAAAATACGAAAATCAAATCAATCAGGTGGAGAATGAAATAAATGTGAAACATTTAACCACTGAAGTCAAGACTTGGCTCTGATAGTGGCGCAGTCGTGGTCCGAACCCATATATTCACTAGCTGAGAAAGCTGTATTTTAGAAGTTGGACCAATCAAATTTAATTCGTTCTTATTTAACAAAAAAAAATATTAATTTTACAAATGGATGGGAGAGGAATGGCAAGGACATGGAGAAGCGTGTCGGCCGGATCGATAGGGTCAGTCTGTTGGATTTTTATAATAACACCATCAAAATTTCCATGTAAGATATAACAAAACCGGTACATAATTAAATTCGGAGTTACACTATTTGGTTATACGAAAGGCGGAAAGAGATAATTATCAAAAAAAATTATCACTCAAAACATGTCAATTTATTGACAAAAAATGTATTGCAGTTATGAAAACTAAATCTTTATGTTGTTAAGTTTATCTTAACAAAAAAAAAGTTTATCTTATGTGAAAAACTCGAAAATGTAATGAAAGAGATGATTGGATTATTGCTACAATTATTTTTCTTGTACGAACTATATTTTGATGGTATATCTACCTCGTGTGCTCAGGGGCGCACGAGCAAGATGATTATTTATTTATCTCTTCGCATTCATTTTTATTTAGAAACAAAATGTTAAAATATAACTCTTTCTCTTCTTTGTTTGGTAATTTAGGGGGTAAAAGAAACTGAGAGAAAATAAGAGAAAAAAGAATGACAACACAGAAGGGCACTGACAGTCGTATGATAAGGAAGTGGTTCGATTTGACGTTTGACTTGTCTTTTCATCCTCTCTCCTTTTCAATTTTTACATTTTCCTTTTTTTCTTTTTCTTGAACCTACCTTACATCAAAATGTAGTTTTTTTTTTCCACATACGAAAATGTTTTTCTTTCTTAGCTCTATAACAATGATTCTCATGGACATCGAAATGCTTTTTTCTCGGGTTTTTTTTGGGACATTTTACATCATATATGTTCTATACATCATATATTACATAAATTGCATATACAGGCAAAAAAAACCTGAAACACATCATCGTCGAGATTGGCCTAGTTTGCGCAAGTCTTGAGTCTGAGTTTCCCCACTCGGCTTAGGTGAATCATGGTGTTCATTCAATTGCCTTATGTTACATAAGATGGTTGTTCTCAAAACATAATGCTAGTAGATTTTTTTCATATGTTCTCAAAACAGCCCTGAGACTAGTATTCTTATTAAACTGTAACAAATCTTCACCAAATAATGAATAACCAGTGCGTTAGGATATGTATAGTGCAATTAAGTAATTGTTAGTCCTTTGTATGGTACAGTTATTATGTCTTACTAAAAACACTGATCTAAACTAGAAATATACTCTTTCTATAAAAAAAATTATAATTATAAGAACATTATCTGGGAAGAAAGTAATTTTTTCTGTTTATTTTATTTTGTTTTTGAAACAAAGAACAAATGGTATTTGGTAAAAGATTGGGTTGTCATCTCAATCAGTTACCGAAGAGCTAATGGGAAAGCGGGTCCTGGTTTGACGAGATCCTAAGGTTTTTGCTACCTACTATTTGTATTTACCCTCCTCTGAGTTTTTTTTAACATTGATTTGTTTTTTTCATCTTACATCTTCTAAGATAATTAGTTCTATCTAATAGTATATCTTAAATGTTAATGCATATCCGTATTTGTGGTTTAAACATTACAGACGTCTACCAAATTTACAAAAAAATGGTTTCCTTATTTGTAGAAAGGTTTAGATACTTCCTTAAATTTGAGACAAAAGAGGACTCTTAAAGAGTAAGCCTAATCAACATTAGTCTTTAATCTATCTTGGAGTCCGTTTTAGGATAAATCCCCTCAAGTGGCCCGACAATTCCATCTTTGTTTAAGTTATTTTAGGTTACTACATCTTTGAATAAGTATATCAACTAGAATTCTTTATCAAATGTACTCACTAATTCTAATATCTACTATATATTGATCCTTGTGGATGCGGGTGATTAGCAGAATATATAACAAAATCACTTTATGATCAATGTGTATGTGTACAATAATAATAAAATCCAAGCAGATTTTGAATTTTATATCCCACTTTCTGAAATTTATTTAATTTATTCCCCCACTCCTTTTTTCTTCACCTTTCTCTTTTCTTATCTTAAGAAATTATATATTTTATGTCATTTGCTTGCTTTTTGTTTTTCATTTCCCGACAGCGCTAATTTTATACTCATTTTACAAGATTGAGGGAAAAGTTTATAAGATGCCACCAAAACACTTACATATAAAATAATTAAGATTGATACGTGGACAAATACGGATCACTACATTTCTAAAGCACTTACTTATCATCCATGCCTACACTCAGTTTTATTTTCTTCCTTTTCTTTGTTTTGCCTCTATTGGTAACACTAAAAAGCTTCTATTCTTCGTTTCTCTTTCACAAACTCATAAAAATGTGATTTAAGAGGGGACCAGAGCACATAGAAGTATGTGTAGATTACGTGTATGAATAGTTCGATAAAAAAAATGTGCCAATGAATTATAAATTATAAAAACACAAAGAAACGAGTGAAACTATTCACATGGCTAATTAATCCTGTACTAATTTGGCAATTTTCACTGTTCTTGAACAGTGAACAACTAACGAAGGGCTATGAACTATATAGTTCTACCCTTTTTTAATGCATTACCAACTTTGAGTCTTTGACACACCAAACATGAATATATACATTAATTTATATATTGATAACATATGTGAGGTCTAGAGCCAGCAAAAAGTTTGCAGTGGTCAATACATACAACCAATAAGAAAGAATAAATATAAAGCCATCATTTCCTAACATCATGACTTATTATCTAGGTCTAGAAAGGTAAAAAAGTCTAATACTTCGAACAAGATTTGAACTAGCTGACTTAGATTTTTTTGGGAAATAAAAGCATATGTACACATGCGTGTGCATGTGTGTGTATATTCACATCTCTATATAGATGTATGTATGCTGTGTTAAAACGTTTCCCAAAAAAACGAGGACAGCTTTGAATGCAGCCGAAAATAACAGAAACCCCAAGAGTTCCACTCGTCAAAGTCATCTTCAAGTGAAACTCCTGAAGTTGAACATCATATTATGAAACTGATATAGATACCAAATAATTCATGTATAGGTGTCCACCAATAACCCATGTCTATGCTTTGAGTGCAAGCCCATTGGCTGAGGTCGATCTGACTTTTTGACTTGTAGCCTACTAGTTGTAGGGTTCTTGTGTATACATATTTTATAGGTATAAATGTGTAGGTATAATATATGGATATAGTGGATTCATATACATATAAAGAGAGAGAGAGGAGGAGGAATTTAAGTGGAACCCAACTGAATGTTGTGAGCTGGTGATTCAAATGTTGATGGAGAATCCATAGAGAATGAGAAGTGGATGAGCATAAAAAAATTAGGTTCTTGTGGAGTGAGTTGCGTCAACACACTTATACACAACTTACAAATTCTCTTTTAAGTGGTTGTGGTGGAA